TTCGCTAACAATTCTGATAACGATTATGATAATGTAATACGATAGCAATAACGTTATGATGATACGATAACGATAAAATAATGATATGATACAATACAATAAGGATATGATAACGATATAATTTGGTACAATAATAATAAAACTGGACTGAAATAATTTTAAGGATGTGGTGACTAAATATGGTTAAAAAAAAAAACTAACCTAATTACATTCAATCCATTTTTATTTGTATAGTGCAAATTCATAACATACATTATCTTAAGAACGCAGAACTCAATAAAATAAAACCCAATCATCGAATCAAACTGACAATTTAACTGGCTAATTAATACGTTAAATACCATAGCACACTGAAAACCTGAGCAACGACAGGCTTTATATACTGTAAACAACATTCTTTTATCTCACTTATACTGTGTATCAGTATATAAGGGGTTTACTTGACCGTGACTTCTCATGTTAACATGTGTTACACTATTAACTGTTAGAGCTTCACGCTTCAGCTGATTTAAAGGAAAGAACATTCAGTCCTATCAGAGAAGACTATATGGAAAAAAAAGAAAATAGTGAATTTCTGCTGTGATGGATCACTGTAATTATTTTAGACAAGTACAACTAAACATCTGAAACTGTTATATTAATGGTTAATTAATGGTTATGCATTGCATGGCCTTTAGATGTAGATCATCAGCAGCAGTCTACAGATAAATGCTGACACAAAGTTGAGATTATGCATCTTATCCTTTAATACTATGTCATTTTCTGCTGCTGATTCCAGCAGAAGGACCCATTTCACACACTGTGCTTTGACTGCCAATTACCTGCTTCATCACCCACTCAGCAGATGCACTCTGGAACAGGAAATTGGGAATGAAGGAAAATTTCCAAGCTATTTTGGGCCACAGTCTCACAAAAACGTCAGTCCTGTTTCTAATGCCTGAACATAGTGTCCATGGTGGAGACGGTAAGAGAACTGGGGGACTTTGAACACTGCAGTCTGTGTTTTCTGACCTCCTTCACTGGACTGTGGCTTTATGCCTTTTATTTAAAAAAAAGAAAAGAAACAAGCATGAAGAACAAGGAATCTCTGACTAGTCCTGGATTCTGACTGGTCCTGGGCTCTGACTGGTCCTGGGCTCTGACTGGTCCTGGACTCTGACTGGTCTTTGGCTCTGACTGGTCCTGGGCTCTGACTGGTCCTGGACTCTCAGTGTTTTAATTCTGTGAACAGGCCGACTTTACTTTGTTATTTAAAAATGAACAAATGTCAATGAACAATGTCTTTTATACTCTTTTTCCTTTTTGTAAATCAAATGACATTCAAAAGAACTGAACTGAACTGAACTGATTTTTAGACTTGTGAAGAATGAAGGTGGGAGTTGTTAATGAGCAAGTTTAAATGATCAAACTTTATGCAACACAAAGTTTTTCTTTTGTCTATATTTTAATTGTTATCTGCATCTTATATAACTGACTATGTGAGAACTATATTACTCTTTCACTGTTCTCTGTCAGATGGTAAAGAGATAACAAGATAATCAGCACACTAACAGGTTGGTTTGTAAAAACAAAGGGACCTTGTTATATTCATAAAAAACAATTAACTCTTTAATGATTTCTGCTGATTTCCAGAGATGAGGTGATAATTAGCTCATAAACTGAAGATGAAACATTAAACACTTCTTTAAGTAAAACTGCCTCCAAAAGACAACCACAGGTTTCACACAGGTGTATTAGATATCACTGCACTTTTCATTACCTTCACCAAGCAGGCCATGTTTTCACCTGTGTCTGTTATTTGTCATCAGAGAAGAACTGATTAAATGTTGAGGAGGTCTGCGCTCCGTGTGCTCCTGTAGTTTTATATGCACCAGTGAAGCCACAGTAAATCTGTCTTATACAGAGCAGGTCTTCATCACACAGGTAAACCTCTACAATCACAGGTACACAACGATCCTCTGCCATCATAGGTACGACCAGAACCAGCTTTCAGCTGCTGTGTTTCAGAACCTGAGTCTCACACTGAGTCACAGTGATGCAAGGTCACATCCCTCATCAGTCGGTTCATTGGTCTCCAATCAATTAAACAGCATCTGCCTCCTCTGAGTCATTTCCAGTGAATTTACCAGACCACAGACCATCAGCCCAGTGAATATACCAGACCACAATCAACCCAGTGAATATACCAGACCACAGACCATCAGCCCAGTGAATATACCAGACCACAGACAATCAGCCCAGTAAATATACCAGACCACAGACCATCAGTATCAGAGGATACAGTTGTGGCACAGGATGAAAACACATTCACATCGTTCTTCTGGGCTGAAATCCAATGACCTCATGTCAGTGTAGGTGATTCAAGATTACCGTGTTTACAGTTTGAAAAAGTCTTGAAGGTCTTTACTCCTCTAATGTGGAACAGAGTGAATTAAAACAGAAAGTCACTTTACATTTAAATTCACCAGTTAAACTGAAGTGTTTTATCTGGAGTCCTTACTCACTGCTACTGTATGAGGACTCGTATGAGGAGTTCAGGGTTCACAGGTGTCAGTCGAGTTCACCACTAAACTACAAACATGACGAAAATCATATAAACAATGTTAAATATACAACAACAACAACAATGTAAACAACCAGTATCTACATTTTATAACAGTAAGATTTTATCTCTTTGGTATTTGTTAGTTAAATAGAGAAAGTGCCTGGGCAGATGGACGGACGGACGCACGCACAGGTATATAATTTAGTTTCACAGAATGACTGAAATATAAAATATAAAGTTTAATATCCTGAATATCCTCCACACATCAAACATTCACCACGGGGTCTTTGTGATTATTATCATTATATTCAGAGGGCTGCTGTGAAACATTTATTGTGATGTTGATCAGTTAAACACTTGGTATGGTTGTGAATGAGTAAACTCCAGTGTAAACAGAGGGAGCAGACAGGTGGCACACCTGAGATGTGCAGCAACCTCCAGGGAAATACAACAGCTGGTATCACTCTGCCGTTTGCTTTTTGCTTTTATACCATTCTGCTGTTTTACACTTGTTGTTTAAGTCATGTGTTCTTTGTTCTTACAGGTTTGATCTCTTATTTTACAATGATAAGAAGAGATGATCACATGAAGCCTCCGTCCTGAACGACTTTGTCTAGGACCATAAATTATATAAATATTCATCCATCAGAGCTCAGCTGTGGACAGTGGTAATTAGTCTGTGGAATGACTCCACTATGTAATTATTGATATAAAGACTGTGTCTGTGAGGAGGTGGACACCGGCTGTTTAACGACCCTGACATTAAGTTAATGACTGTTAATCATTTTAGTTTTGTCATATAAGAAGCTCAGTCCTGGTTCTGAATGTAAAACATGAACATAATAATAATAATAATAATTATAATAATAATAATAATAATAATAATGATGATAATAATAACAATAATAATAATAATAATAATAATAATGATAATAATAATAATAATTCTGAACAAACCTGATGAGAATAAGACAGACACAGAAACTTTCTCCTCCTCAGGTGATTCACTTCTTTCAGATGTGACTGCTCTGACTGACCTGAGCTCGCCCTCTGTTGGTGGGAGAGAGAGATAGAGAGAGAGAGTGACAGGTTTGTCGGAGGAAATGTGACACACCTGTACAGCCTGGCTCACCTGTACTTACTCTCCCTCTCACTCCCCCCCCCATGAAGACTGGGGCTGCGGTTGAAAAGCGTTTTTCAGGACTGATGACTCCCGACTTGACAGATCTGAAAAAGAAGAGATCTATATTTGGATGGATTTGAAGCTCAGTCGATCACAAACACAAAACAACGGCTCTGTTGTTTCTACATTTGCCGAGGTGAAACCACAATGGTGTGTCTCTTTAAATGTTGCTGTGGCAAGGAATTGTGGGATGGCAAGGAAGGTCCAGTGTTTCCTTTGCTAAAAGGAGATGAGATAGGAAGCACAGAAGCTCCTTTCCTTATCATTTAGAGGACTGGACCAGCTCTGATCATGGCTGCCGCTCACAGACTTCAGCTCATTTCACTCAGTTAGGAAGCTCTCCATGTTCCTTACTCCTCCACACATGGACCTGTGCACCACTGACACTGATGATGTCATGCTGATGTCATGTTTGTCGTGTTACTCTGCAGTTTGTGTAAATAAAAAACCTTCAAATGTTTGTGAGTTTCCTCTTTATCTAAATGATCCAACAGGTGGATCCTTTCGTGGTCCAACCTATCCCAAGATTCGTTGCGTGCCGGTAATGAAAATAATATGGTAATAATATATAGATGATATTATACAAAAATAATAAAGCTCAGGATTACACTGTTAAATGTAAGTGTTGGGTTTCGGCTCAGTTCATCGGTAAAACTGTTAAAACCAGGGGCCTTAAAACCTCAAGTTTTTGAGAAAAAAAAAAAGTTGTGTTGTCAAGGTTGCTAGGCGACGCAAAACACTGTGGGAGGAGTCAGATCACTGGGAGGAGTAATAATCAAAATGATCAGTTTCAGTGTGATTTATGAGACAGGTAGAAACGGAGCAACTGATCTGAACCGGAGAGATAATCATGTCACTGTTCATTAATAAGATAATGAGCTATAGAACATGAATACATCAGAGATTTATAATAACTGGACTGACTCTTTAACTGAGTCTCATTCATTTTAATGAGTCAGTAAACCTTTAATTAAACATCTGGATCTTTTCTCAATAAAACCATCAGTGTCCTACAAAGCTTCCTCTCCTCTTTTTTTCCCTCTCTCCTCTCCTAACCTCATTCATGATCTGATCAGTGTTTGAGTGTTTTATATATCATTTGTGTTACTAGGGTGACGTCAGGAGCAAACAGCGGCAGGCAGCGGGAGGTGTGTGTGTGTGTGTGTGTGTGTGTGTGTGTGTGTGTGTGTGTGGGGGGGGGGGGGAGGGGGCTGGGGTGGCAGGACTCGGTGCGCATCTCTCCAAACTTCTCCAGCCGCGCGGAGCCGGAGAATCACCCGGGAGAGAGAGGAGCTCATCAGGGTCAGCGATGAACAACAAGTCCGCGAGTCTGCAGAGTCCGCCCCGTGTCGGGTCCGGGTCCGGCTCCGGGACCGTGGACCATGAACTCGTCATCACCTCCACGTTCGGGACGCTGCTCTCCGTGGTGTATGTGGTCGGAGTGTCGGGGAACGTGTACACGCTGGTGGTGATGTGTCACTCGATCCGCTTCGCCACCTCCATGTACATCTCCATCATCAACCTGGCTGTGGCGGACCTGCTCTACCTGTCCACCATCCCCTTCGTGGTGTCCACCTACTTCCTGAAGGACTGGTACTTCGGGGACGTGGGCTGCCGCGTCCTGCTGAGCCTGGACCTGCTGACCATGCACGCCAGCATCTTCACCCTCACCGTCATGTGCATGGAGCGCTACCTGGCCGTCACCCAGCCGCTGGACACGGTGAGACGCTCCAAGAGTTACCGCAAAGCTCTGGCGTGGGGCGTGTGGCTGCTGTCTCTGGTCCTCACGGTGCCCATGATGGTGATGGTCGCACAGACCACCAAGACCGCCCCGAACGGGGGCGTGAAGAGGATGTGCGCGCCCACGTGGGCACCGCTGGCTTATAAAGTGTACGTGACGGTCCTGTTCGGCACCAGCATCATGGCCCCGGGGCTGGTGATCGTCTACCTGTACGTCAGGTTGGCGCGCACCTACCTGGAGTCCCAGCGCAGCTGCGTGATCCAGGGCGGCCGCCGGTCCCCGAAGCAGAGGGTCCTGATGATGATCTTCACCATCGTGCTGGTCTTCTGGGCCTGTTTCCTGCCCTTCTGGATCTGGCAGCTGCTGCCTCTGTACCACACCGAGCCGCTGGGTCTGGCCTCGCAGACTCACACCTGCATCAACTACCTGGTGGCGAGTCTCACCTACAGCAACAGCTGCATTAACCCTTTCCTCTACACGCTGCTCACCAAGAACTACCGCGAGTACCTGAAGAACCGCCACCGCAGCTTCTACAGGTACACGTCCTCCTTCAAGCAGCGGCCCCCCAGCCTCTACTCCTGGGGCAAGTCCGCGTCCTCCAGCAACCAGTTCGAGTTCACCTCCGAGACCCTGGTCATGGGGACCCGGAAGTGACGTGTGAGTCACGTGGGCGAGAAGAGGAAACGTTCAGAGCCGCGACAGGTGAGACGACTTTATCTATTGTATCCTGTTGCACCTGTCCCTGCTCCTCCTCCTCCTCCTCCTCCTCCTCCTCCTTCTTTAACTACTGTCACTGTTACATCAGCAGCCTGACACCTTTTATTGTGATGGATGATTGATTTGATTTTCTTTTCCAACTTCTTCAACCTATCACATGTTAATCTATAATCTATACTCCTCTATAATGTTGAGTCTCCCCCTGGTCTGAGTCTCCACAGAGACAAACACTTACTGTGGTGAAGTCAAACACCTGTAGCTGTTTTCCAGTGACCTGTGGCCCACTTACCTGAGTGAGGATGATGACTCTGCAGGTTGGAGCTTCATCATAAGGAAGGCGACAGTCTCTGTTCAGGTTCCTCTTTAATGAGCAGAAACTTTCCTCATGTTTTATGGAGAGTTCACGACTCTTTAATAAAACAGTTCCTGACACTGAAGGATCCTCTGCTCTGACTGAAGTCTCTTTAACTCACTTCTACTGCCACAGCGTCTTCTTCTTCTACTGCCACAGCTTCTTCTTCTTCTACTGCCACAGCTTCTTCTTCTTCTACTGCCACAGCGTCTTCTTCTACTGCCACTGCTTCTTCTTCTACTGCCACAGCTTCTTCTTCTTCTCCTCTCCACAGTCTGACAGTCTGTTCATCCCACAGCTGGAGGAGGTTCTCTACTGTGATACTGTAACTGAAATAATATTCAATATAAACTAATGAACTGAACTTTATCATAAGTGCAGTAATTAGTTTTTGATTGGTGATAAGTAAACCTGCTTATCTAATTCAGATTCAGTGGATCATTAATTTAATACAAGATAATAAACAGAACAGTTAGTCCTTTAATTAATGGTCGTATCATCTGATCTTATTCATATTCCCCCGTACACACACACTGAAGAAAGCCCCTCCTCCTCCTGCTCTTTGTTTTCAGGGAGGGAAGGGGGGGGGGGGGGGGGTGTTATATTATTATATTATTACTAATAATACAAATCTCTCTCTCATATTAATTCAGATAGGTTTCTTCTTTCGAGGCTCTTTTCTTCTGCGTCAGTAACTTCTAGTTTAGAGACCCTAAACCTTTTTCATATATTCACTTTGAGACAGTTTGAATTTGTTGAACTCACAGCTGTAGGATGAGACTCTGTGACTGAACACTCTCTTCAGGTGTCTGACATCACGTCTGTCTCTGATATCCTGCTTTACACAGGAATGGAGCCGTGATGCTGTGACTCTGTTACAAGGTCACATGACGTTCACTGTCCCTGACACCGTAACCGTCTCTGTCTGAGATTATTGTGTGAAAAGAAACAGAAATCATGAACTCATCATTAGGATTAAAGGAGGTAAAGAAAGAGTGACCACAGCTTCTCTTTCATCTTCATTACCTGAGGAGCTTATTGTTGTTGGTCGTCACTGTGCGTCAGGTGATGCGATGATGTCACTGATGCTTCGTTCACTCTGAGACGATGTTTGAAGTTTGTCTGCAGGTCTGCTGGATGTGACAGTTTAACAGGTGTTCACACGTCAGTGTAATATTTCACTTTGTTCCACTGCAACAGTCAAAAAAAAAAACCCAAATTTAATTCTGTTTTATGAGCACAATGATTTGAAAAGCATTCACAGCATTAAAAATAATTAAGTGTTAACACAAATTAATGCAGACTGGATGTGACTGATCACACGAACAGGTTTCAGACGGCTCATAACCACTTTTCATATTGTACCGAAGAGAATACAAAATACATTAACATCTCTACAGCAGCAGGGTCTGTATGTGAAGTGTATTTCTACAGCTGGTCTGTATGTGAAGTGTATGTGGACTGAACACTGGTCTGGTCTGAGATGGAAACAGCTGCTGGCGTTTTAAACCATTTTCTTGATGGAGGTTCCTGCATGAACAAAATGTACCAGAACAACGTGGAGCAGCAAGGAGCCAAAGTCAATAACATGAGCGGATCAGGAACAGATCAGTTTCCTTTAATCACCCGGAGAAAATATTAGTTTTAGTTTGTTTTATCTGGAGGAAAATGTGATGAGACGAATCAAACAGGCTGTGACCTCTGAACCCGAACAGCTACTGACAGTCTAATCACACCATCTCATTAATGATCCATGTTGGACAACAGGAAACCGACCAGAAACCTCGCAGTAACTCTGAGAAGGAATCTTCACCAACATCTCACTCTGTCATGAGTTTAACGTGAACTATAGACACATGAAGAAGAGGTGAGATGATGATGCCGTGTGTAAATAACAGGAAAGTTCAGACCTGAGAATCAGACTCGGTAACAAAAAGACAATAAATCGGAGTGATTTTAGTTCATTTAATGAGAACTGAATATTAGACTTGACACTGAGAAGATTAATGATGATATAAAACAGAAGAAGAGAAGAGAGAAGAGCCTCTCAGGAACTGTCAGTGTTTTATTTCAGCTGTTCTCCACCATGTTGAAGTAGATGTTAACGTCACTGAGAGAAAAGGTTCTTCTTAGAAGAAAACTCCTCCTGGGTCAGAGCTGGGCGAGGATGACGAAGGATTGATTCAACAGATCTATATCTGTGCTTCAAATGAGAAACGCGTGGAGACACAGGAAATCCCGCTTCAGCCTCTCTGAAGAAAAGAGAGCTGGATCCCCAATGATGAAGAAGAACCAGGCAGACCTGAGACCAGACCTGAGACCAGCGATGAGGACGGAGCAGTGAGAACAGAGACTGCAGGAGAGGATGAAGGTGTACTCTCTCAGTCAGTGAGAGTCAACACCTGAAAATAACATGTACACATGTTGAAGGTTGAACAGTCAAACCTTCACAAACAGCCCCTCACTCTGTCCTTCCTCTTTTGTTACAGGGTTCGTCCAACTCCGTGGGCGGCGCCATCACCCAGGGTGCCTCAGGGCAGGGCGGGGTCAGAGATGCCGTGTGCAGGGTCGCAGGTGAAGGACACGGTGATGGCGTAGCGCGTCCCCCACGTCACCTTCTCCACACGGTGGAGGTTCTCAGAGCCGGAGGAGAAGAAGGAGACTCGTCCTGGACAAGGAGGGAAGGAGGGAGGAGAGGAAGGAGAGAAAGGAGGAGAGGAAGCATGATCAATGAGTCAGGTCTGTGAGTCAGGGTGCAGTTAGCCTAGCTTAGCATAAAGACAAACAGTTCAAATATACATTTACACAACACACCTAATACAAATACACAATGTACTTGTTTTTCTATAGAAATGTTTGGTCAATATCTTAAAGACTGATCAGTCACATATCTGTGTTGAATACAGGACAGAGTTAGCCTAGCTTAGCATAAGTACAGGAGGCAGCCCGTCTGTGGTAATTAACATGTTGAATCTTGTTTGTTTTACATAAACAGAAATGTAAAAAAAAAAAAACATTTTAGTGTTTCTGAGCTGCTGCTGCTCAAACATCAGTTAGCGTGGTCAGTTAGCATGGTCAGTTAGCATGATCAGTTAGCGCAGGGTTATCTCACAGTGAGGAAACAGTGATTACAGCAGAATTTTGTCTTTACTGATTATTAGAGTTTTTTATTATTTGAGCAATTTTTCTACTTTACTAGTTTACTACAGAGGTAACTTAACTGTTTCCTTCATGCTAAGCTAGGCTAAACATGTTTGGGTTAATTAGTGAGTTTTAGAGTTTTGGTTGTTTTTTTAACCTTAGACGCCGCCAGGCTGTTTTCTCCTGTTGTCACTGTCAAGCTAAACTAAGCTAAGCTAAGCTAGGCTAAGCTAGGATAAGGTAAATCTTGTCTGTGGAGATTTCCATATTTCCAGCTCTGAAATCTGTGACATTTACATTTCTCTCCTTCATATTCACATTAAAACTGGTGATCAGTGATGTTGTCTCTGACAAAGCCACGTTAACTGTTAACTCCTGCATCCAGTTATGCTGAGATACATTTTTTTTTTTCTATAAAGAAAGAGCTTCAGTTATGTGGAGCTCATCCTAAAATCACAAACTGTCACATTTACATTTGTGTCTAGTGTTAATTAGTTAATTAGCTTTAGCAGTGTGCTGTGCTCCGACTGTGGAAATAATCCTCGTCTCCTTCGTGAAAGACGCTGCGCTCATTCAGACTGTGTATTATGCAGATGTTGTTTGTGGAACTGAAGGGAATTTGAAACACAAAGAAGTGGAACCATGCAGAGATGAAGTGGTGGAGATTCAGTGCAGACTCCAGACTGACTGTCAGCTGAAATCATTTAAAACATTTGATCCAGTTTCCTCTTGGACAGACTCAGTGGGAGTTTGGTGAAGCTGCTCGGGGTGAAGTCTCCATGGTAAAGTGTGGTTGTCTCTAAACACAACCTGTGTTCATGAAGCTCATGTGTCCTATAATTAAGAGATTTATATTTCAGGAGTTTTCAGACTCATTATCTCGTTATGTAAATGTGAATAAAAAGCTGGAATCACTCTGCTCCAATTTGTTTGCTCTACTTTCCTCCAATGAATCCTGATGACTTAGAGTGGGTGTGTGTGTGTGTGTGTGTGTGTAAATCCCCCTAGCAGGGCATTAGCGTGGGGATGTGGAGGGAAATCAGTGGCTGCAGACAAACAATAGACCTTACTGTGAAAAGCCTGAGACAGTGAAGTGATGCTGAGACAGAACAGAGCTGCAGGGACAGTGACTGTTGGTCACTGAAACAGGAGGTTGCGTTCAGGAGCTCAAATTAGACACGCAGCTTTAGATAACTGCACAATGAAATAATCCCAATATAAATGTTTCAGCATCTACACTGAAGAATGAGACTCTGCAGCAGATCAGTGGCTACACGCTGGAGCGAGACTCACACAGGAAGTCAGCCAGGACTCTTCAAAACAAAAGCACTCTGCAGTTATAGGACTGAACCTCAGCTTCCTGATTCACTGCTTCAAACTGTGGGAGTGGAAGTCAGGATAGATACTGACCATCTGTTCAGCCTGTAAACATTTACACATGTTGGTTTATTACCAGTGGAGACACTACACTACATTCTCTCCTACAGTTGTGTAACACATGCAGAATGCATCTACCTGTATCTGTCTATAACACCTGAGACTCAATCTGCATGTCAATCAGCTCCTGATTCACAGGACCAGACCTGGACTCACTGCTCCTCTGTGAATGTGTCTGTGCTTCAACAGGAGCAGGTGCAGGACACGTCAGGTAAGGAGCCTGCAGCAGTCAGTTGTTCAGACTGTTGTGTGGCAGCTGCTCAGTGTGACCGTCTGGCTCTGACACAGCGCTGACATCACCGCTTTATACACAAATGAAGCCATCTGATTGGCTGTATGGAAACAAAACAGATAAAACATTAACGTCTCCTCCTGATGACAAACAGCCACCTCATCAGTTGTTTCACCACAGCTCTCATGTCAAATCCTCTTTTTACAGTGTTTTCATATAAAAAATATTGGTTGGAACAGATGGTTAGCTTCTGTCTTCTAGTCTGTTAGCGCTTTAGCTAGTCTCTGTCACTGAGAAACTACTTGTGATCAGTTCTGTCCTGTTCTTCAGCCACACAGAGGGAATCTGTCAACGCCAAGTTTCTTTTTCATCTGGAGCGTCAGAAACTTTCCTTGGACACTTCCTGTTTTCATCACACTCCTGCTGCTGTAGCTCCGTCTCTGTCTCTACGGTTACCCAATCATTTCTCTTTGACATGATATATATATATATATATATCACTGCCACTGGGCGAGCACAGGAACGTCACCACAGACACCAGATGTAAAAACTGTGGTACACTACAGAAGACAGACAGATTCACCTGGAGCTGATAATCAGCTCTGTGTGAACTCCTTTATAAACACACGTTTATTTATCTGTAAAAGTCTCACACTCCAGCTTCACTGAGGTCTTTATCCTCAGACCCCGCTGGGATGAGTTTGCGAGGCTAATAAGATGCTAAACGGTCCGTGACTCACTCGGTGCTGATACCAAGGTCTGCTGCTGGAGCAAAATACAAAAGCACATCAACACACTGTCCACTCAATTTATCGATTACTCCCCCAGCCTCATAATTAATTAGTGGAGGATGAATCACACAGAGTGTGTGGTGTCTCCAGAGGGTTGGGATGGAAGTTAAAGTTAGATGACACAGCGTGATGTTGAATTAAATGCAGCTTCAGGTGGAAAATGTTTTCCCTGAAGCACTTCCCTCTATTACTTTCCTCTTAGAGCTTCATGACGGCAGCTGGAGCTGAAGACGCCTCACCTCTCACCTGAAAGGCTTTCACTCCTTGTGGGGTCATTGAGGAGAGTCGGCCGTCAGGTGGAGTCCTGTGTGGATGCATGTTCAGATCCTCCAGCACAACCTTCATACAGCTCTAAGAGATACCAGGACCTGGACGACTGAGAATCTTCACACACACCTTGATTACTCTGTGTCTCGGCTGAGGGCTTCAATAAGACCCGTCTACCTGTACAGTCAGTTAACCCGTCAGAGTGGAGACAGGTGTAATGTGGAGACAGGTGTGGAGACAGGTGTAATGTAACAGGTATAATGTCTGCTGTAGCTCCGCAGCTTTGTTTTCATTTCATCAGACGGGAAGAGTAACAAAAAGATGCCACTGTGTGCTTTGTAGGAAATGTAGGATCCAGAGATTTGGAGCTACTGGGAGCGAAAAGTCAGAATATTCACCAGCGTTATGAAAGTGCAGCTGTTCAGATGAACTGATAGTAAATTAATAGTAATAGATAGTAATTCTAATCATAAAGACGCAGCTGCAGCAGCTTCCAAACAGGAACCAGCTCTGTGATGTACAGAGAGTTCAGGTCCAGACACGTTTTCATCGTGTTCACTGTCTGTTTGTTTGCAGAGACCAAGGTCAAGCTGTCGACAATGGCGGTTATCTGATCCCGCTGTGAGGTCTGTCTCCTCTGACTCAGTCTCTGTATCTGACGTTGCAGCTGAACACCATATCTCTCCATTGCATATCTAAACTTTATCTGTCTCCGTCCACTTCCTGTCTGTGCCCACCCTCTCTCCTGGTCCTGGTCCTGGTCCTGGTCCTGGTCCTGAAAGGGACAGGTTCACATTCAACCGACACAGTCTCCCTCCCCCTCTCTTCCTCTCCCTCCTCCCTCTCTTCTCTCAGTGTCATTACACTCTTGATTGTCTTCCTGGTGTTATAATTACACCTTGTTCATCACTGTCAGCTCAAAGAGGCATGATGATCTCCGTGAACTAATACGAGGATCAGACCCTCACTAGTCCAAACCTGTCAGTCACCTGCTCAGCATGCTGCCTGGGTGATGAAGAGGAGATGATCCTGACTATTGATGCATTATGCATGACTCCTTCTCCTCTAAATAAAACTCACAGTGACAGAGACTGTCAAAGCAACCAGTGCGATTACCCCTGTCATATTTAGATTCTGGATCAGGCTCCACAGAGAATCAGGACTCTCTCTTGGGGGGGACCTCAGAGACAGGACAGCAGCTTTAACATCCCCCTTGTTCTCTGGAGGTGATTCTCAGTTCATCATCAAACATGGCTGCACTGTTAACAACGAGCTGTCACACTCTGTATCACCACATGTCCTTCAGTCAACACCCTCACAGACTGGGACCGTGCACTGCTGGTCTCTGCTGGGTAACAGGCTCCAGACTGACTGGCTACTTCTCCTTTGAATTGTTGTTGATTAAAAGTGGCAGGGGAATCGGATGAGAGGGAGGGAGATGATGGAGAAGGAGGAAAAAGGTGAACAGGTTTTGTAATCAGGTCTGACAGAGAGGAAGTGACATTGACAGGAAGAGGGAGTGGCCTCAGGAGACGTTTCACCCAGCCTTCACTCATTCATCACAGTTTACTGAGGCTGCACATAGAGATGGAGGCTGACTTCAGACAGAATTACACTGGGCAGCTGTTACAGTGATCAGCTGATTCACCTGACCAGGTGAGTCAAGTCTCTGCTCTGCTGAAGGATGAGCTGCTCCGCAATAGAAGACACAGTCTGTACTCACTTCTTATCCAGAAGCCTCTCAAGTCCAGTCTGTGAGTCAGGTCACAGACTGAAGAACGGCAGATAATCCTACTAACTAATCCTGCTAACTAGTTTTACCGACTAATCCTACTAATTAATCCTAAACCGATTCATGTTTCCTCTGACTGGACTTGGCCTCACTTTCTTTGTAGACTAAATCCTTGAATTGAACTCTGTCTTTGGGTCCTTCGCACCTCCACCCTGATTATTTCTTGATATTGTCAGTTCGTGTTTCCTCGGTGTAAATTGACCGTTGCTGCTTGTGTCGACTTTTTCTTTTTAGATTAAAATATCTAAATGCACAGTTTGTTGTTGTTGTATGAATGACTTTAACACGACTGACACCTTTCCTTCGACGGACTGTCGGTGAATCTTTCAGAGCTCAGACTCGCTGCAGAGGTGGGGCGACAGGACAGATTTTACCTCGGGGATAAAGACGTTTAAAAACTTACTGTGAAGCAGTGAAAACAGTCGCTCAAAACTGAAGCAGAAAAATTCTCCAGCCGTTAACCGGACGTCTGAAACTTGTCTGCAGCTCCTTCTGGCACATTCTTCTAAAATGACCGGCTCGGAAACTTCTCTGATTTTCCACCAGTTCCCCAGAGACCCGATCCAATTCCCCTGTTTTTAAAAGCCTCAGCTTTGCCTCAAGTCCCATGATGCTTCAGGAAATTGTCCCTGAACCCAGTAAAGGATATTACTGGGTTATGTTGCCAGCTGGGTTTTTTTTTTTCACAGGCAGCTTTAAAATATCCATTTACTCTGAGCCTGACCAATATTTCCTACACAGACTGTATCAACCACCCCCAGGTCCTGTAGGCGAGGTAGAGCCTAAGCCCTGCAGTTAGCGCTGATGATTACACACTGACAGAGGATTACGCTACACACTGGAGATAAACCAGCTGCAGGTTATTCATGCAGCTACACTGTGATAATGACATCTCATATCTAAGTGTGGTTCGCAGACAAACACGGGGTCAACAGGGGTCACCGCCTCACAGCAGCTCCACCATCACTGAAGCAGGAAGTGGCTGTACGTTACCTGCCCGGGGTTCCACTGTCTGGTTTCCATTCTGGTCCATGAAGACAAATCTTCCTCCGGTGAAGTCGGAGCCGTAGTCAGACAGGTAGAGGAGACAGGTGTAGTCGAAGGAGCCGTAGGTTACCTGTGAGACAGGAAGTCAGAGTCTGCATCAACACCTCACTTCACTGACGGCGATTCATTCAACCAGTGACTTGTAGACAAGGATTAACAACTTCACTCTGACAATGAAACTGAGAATGATAGTCTATCACCATGGTAACAGGCTGCAGGATGGTGTAGTGAGTATATATATATATATATATATATATACACACACACACACATATATACACACACACACACACACACACACACACACACGAACTGAAGGTTGAGGGTAGGTTTTGCTTTTGTTTAGTTATTTGCACTTAAAACTTGTAAAAGTTACATCAGTAAAATCTTTAATATTTTATTGTTATCTATTTTATTTTAATATCATTTATAATCCAGGGAAAAAGTTCAGTGAGAGACTGACTGGTACCTGAAGAAAAATGATTCCCATCAGTCCATTTAGAGAGCAGGTCGCAACTCGGACATGTTGCTACAGATGGTCCCAGAACAGGTCCAGATCCTAGACTCAGGATCTAGATCTTCCGTCAGTAACACCTGGTCAGGTATCTATGCTGTTACCTTGTCTATGTGTGGGTGCCAGTACTCGTCGTGCTGGGTCTTGGCTGCCGTGCTGTTGATCCTGGAGAAGAAGGTGGGCTTGGTGAGGTACATCAGAGTCTGGTCCAGATCAAACGTCTCAGCTATGACCGTCTGGATTCTCTCACGTACGTCTCTGATGGAGAATCACAGGGGTGAGGGTGAAGTGGTGAGACTTCACCGATTCATGATGCACTGAAAAACTGGTCAGTTCAGTCGTCATGACAACCAACTGCAAGTCAGGGGACCGGGGTTAATGAGGAGTCATATCAAGACCAACTACCTCCATTCACCTCCTACAGGTGGGAATACATGACAGACATGAAGACAAACCCCACACATCAGATCTGTGGACTATGACATCATCACATTATATTGATCATTCAATGACATCATCACATGATACTGATCGTTTAGTAAGGAACGATGTCACAAAGCAGCATCAGGTCTGTGCTTTAGTTTTGAATGACTGGTTTGAAAACGGTTCCTCACCTGTAGAGCTGGAAATCCTCAGGTGTGATCACATCCCTGATCTGATCCCCAAAATACCTGCACAAACATCGCAACAGCCAATCAGAGACCGGCATGAGGCTGATTAAAATGAGGGACCAGGTTCGGTGGAACACGCAGGGTGTCATCGCTTCAGTCACAAACACAGATGCAGAGAAATGAAAAGGTGTTCTGTTGTAGTTTCACCTGTAGATGTTGACGAACTGTTTCCCCATCGACAGCGCTCCAGAGTGCAGGTCCAGTATGGAAGCCTGGAGGGGTCAAAGTCAAAACAGGACAAATCAGCTGACTGCTGATACAGCGTTTGTTTGAAGGTTCAGCTGCTCCTCTGTGGCCACGTGGTGTTCACTCTGTCCTTCACTTGCTATTGTTATTGGTGGTCAGCTCTTGGCTCCTCCCCCCTCACTGAAGTGTCTTAACACTTCATGAACGTTTCTGGACAGGAACATGACTCCACACTGTAGCGTCTGTCAGAAACCATCAGGTCTGGACTCACTGGACCAGACTGCCCTCTAGTGGCGGGACAGGTCCATCGCAGCAGGAAGTAAAATAATAACAACACTGTTCTACTTATATCTAACAAAACTGTGGATGAAAAGACCATCCGACCATCTGAGGTTCAGAGACTGAAACGTATCAGGTCTCAGGCTGTCCAGGTGTTTCTGATTACAGACTAGAATGATGTCATCATGACCACAAAGATAAAGGAAAGATAAAGGAAAACGATAAACAACCTGCAGAGACAGGTGTGTTTGGAGTAGAGCGTTTCATGCGTTCATATACTCACCCCTCCCTCTGACCCGGCCAGTGCCAGCCCCCTCTCAGCGAGCCTGTGGGTCAGACACAAGTATTTAATGATCCACCTGGACACAGGTAGTCTGCTGTCTGTGACAGTGTTTACCTCCTGAGCACCTGAGCCTCCTCCCTGCTGACCACACTGTCTGTGACTGCACGGCCACACCTGTGAGGGGTGCATCCTGGGAAAGAGAGGAAGGAGAGGATCAGAGAAACAACAGCTTCATCATGGAGGGAAAGAGAGGACAGAGTTTATTCATTAATGTCCCACAATTCAGAGCTTCCCTCCAACGATGATGACTGTAGTTTGACAGTTGACAGTTTTGATGACGGGGGACATGAGGTGGAACACAGGGATTAAAATGCTGTTTACAGGTGTGGTGTTTACAGGTGTGGTCGTGGTCTCACTCCTTAAACAGAATTAAACCACCTGAAGTGACTCTGTTGATCTTTGTCAGACGTGAACCCTGCAGGTGTAACTCTGGGTGAAACCAGCTGATTCAGGGTCAGAACCTGTGAACTGCTGCATGTGGCTGTTTTCACTTTAACTTTAACTTAAGGAAACATTATTAAACCGCCTCAGTTGAACAGGTGATGTCACTCAGTAGAGTTGTACTGCCATCTAGTGGAGTCTGTGCTGTTTCATGGAACAAATATAAAAACACTATTTATTTTATACTGTAAGAAGAAGAAGAAGTAGAAGAAGAAATGTTCCACTAACAAGTTGTCTATGTAGCAGGTTTGTCACATCATCATGGTAACACACAGACAGGTGTGACAGTGGTCAGGGGTCACAACCTCACCTGGGTAGCGTTTGTAGTTCTCGTAGTCTTCGGAGCACGGGACGGTGTAGACTCTGGGGAGAGGGGAGACCAGCTCCCCCTGGCTGACCAGTGTCGCTGTGATGTCACTGTCCACAGAGCTCATGTACCACCAGGTCCTGCACACACACACAGCAACCAGCAGCAGGGCCACGAGTCCTCGGTACCCCCTCCACACAGACCCCTGCCTCAGAGCATGACCCCTGACCAAGACAGAGAGAAGGACCAGTCCAGTCCAAAGTCAAGGAGTCAATTCAAACGGCAATGAACCTGCTGGGACTTTTGAAGTTAAAAGAAATTCAACAACAAGTGCACATGGATGTACTATAATACATATCTATATACATATGTGTACCAATCTGGTTCATCACTTTTTAGTATCCCCTGGAAACACTTCTGTTGTGTTGTATTTGCAGCTCATGTCTTGTCAGATTGATGAAGATGTTTTCTGAACTTGTGTTTTCTGAAGCTGCAGTGTGTTGAGCCCTCAGGGCCACCGTACAATCCTCATGTATTTATTTATTCAGTTATTTATTCAAATAACTATCAATTTAATCTCTTTATTTATATTTTCTATTATTGTATTTATTGATGACCATATCGTCAGTGTGTCCTCCACAGTAATAATGAAGCTGTGAACTCATCAACATGTTTTTGTCTCTACATTTACCTCTGTAATCACAGTCTCTCTCTCTCTCGCGCGCGCTCACTCACACACACACACACACACACGCACACGCACGCACACGCGTGGAGTATCGTTTCATTTCCTCACCTTTTAATCTTCTTCTCTATCTCTGTGGAGTTCCCGCCCTTCGCGTTCCTCATTCGTACCAGCGCCATCTTGACTCAGACCTCCAGCTCATCTACAACATAATAATTCACTAAAAGCTCTTCACTGCTCCGTTCACAGCAGCTAACGTTACCTGACAATCTCTGCTTCCGGGTGGATGACTAACGGTTGTCCCATTGGCTCTCCGGAAAAGAAAGCAACGTTTTCATTGGACAAATTCAACCGGACTACAGCACAGCTGTAAACACAGCGGGGATCGAGCGCTCTTCCATCCATTGCTCTTCCCGCTCAGACTGAACTAATCAATCGCTTGCTCTGTTTATTACTAACGTCTGTGGACCATTTAATCAAAGTACACGACACTGGACTGATAACAGGTATAACATCGCAGGAGGTGGCGGCAAAGCTCCGTGTGGTTGCGTCCCCATTAAAACGAAGAGGAAGAAGACGAAGAAGAAAAGAAAAAGGTGATCTGATCTGCGCGACAATAGCAGAATCCTCAGTCCAGTGTCCCGCCTCTGACTTCCTATCTCCGGGTCCCACCTGGTCTCTGCTGTTCAGGTAAGTCAAACCTATGATGTACTGTTCAGGCTCAGACGTGGACACACACCTGTACCTGCTGCTGTCAACGTGAAGCTCTGCTCGTGTGCACAGTGAGACAAGATGAAGTGTCCACCGTGGCCCGAAGGACAGAAACTGGTTCACCTGGATCTGAAAGGTGCCCCCCCGAGAGTAGACTACCTCCACAAGGTACGACCAGGAGGGTCCTGAGGTCGGCAGCACATTCACACCTGTGTCACTTTGTAACTTACTGTTCTCTTTCCACCCACCTGCTGACCTGATGATGATGGTCGTGTGATCAGCTGATCGAGCTGTTCTCTGAGCTGGGGGCGGAGGGTCTGCTGGTGGAGTATGAGGACATGTTTCCTTATGAGGGGGAGCTGCAGCTGCTGCAGGGCACAGCTCCGCCCACCTACAGGTGCAGTGTGACTCTTTACCTGCCTCATTAACAGAGTGATTTTCCTCACTGTGAGACAGATAATATTTAATATCTGGTCATAAAGTCTGACCATTGTGTTTCCAGCCGACAGGAAATATTATCTCTGCAGGAGTTTGCCAGGTCTAAGTCCATGGAGGTGGTCCCCCTGGTGCAGACGTTTGGCCACATGGAGGTGAGACAGCAGACACCTGCTCACTGTGGGACAGAGCTCAGTGTCGGTGTCTGACCTGCTGTCTGTTTCCTCTGTCAGTTTGTGCTGAAGCATCGTCCCCTGTGGGGCCTCAGGGAGCTGCCTCACTGTGTGGGCACCCTGAACCCTCACAGAGAGGAGGGGCTGAAGCTGGTGATGGAGATGCTGAGGCAGGTGGTGGAGCTGCATCCAGGTGTGAACACTCTGCACATTGGAGCCGATGAGGTGAGGATGAGTCTCCTGTAGACCAGGTGTGTCACATGACTGATGTCATCAGTTTTCACGTGTTCTCTCAGGTGTACATGCTCGGTGAGGGGGAGGAGTCAAAGCTGTGGTTGGCTTCACCTGGACGCACAGTGGAGCAGCTGTTCCTGAGTCATGTGACCAAGGTCGCCAAGGCCATCAAGGAGGCGTGGCCTCACTTGAATATCATCATGTGGGATGATATGATGAGAGGCATGAACCAGGACACTCTGAAAGGTGAGGAACAACACAGGTGTTACTGCAGCTTTAAAACCATCACCCGGTAACAAAGATGTACCTCATGAGTCAGCTGACTCAGGCTGATGATGTCACAGTCTTACAGGTAAACTGAACGCTCTGAGCATCAGGTGAACAGCCTCAGCTCCTGAGAAGCGTCAGAAGTCATGAATGTTTCCTAATGCAGGTTAAAGGTGTTTGTATTTACCTGAGTATTTTTATTTCATTCATTCTTACACAGAGACAGAAGCTACAATAACAACAGGAATATTATTATTCATTAGTACAGAGATGATAGAGATAATATAACCTTGTTTTTATGAACTGTCGTTAACAGTTTCATTAATATGTCCTTGTGTTGAACAGAGAGTGGTCTGGTGGGACTCGTCCAGCCCATGTTGTGGGACTACACCCCTGATCTGGATGTGGACAGCACTGGTAGGAAATGTGTTCTCTGACCTTTGACCTCTGAGCTCTTGTTCCTATTGTCTGATGAGTCCTCTGTGTTAAACAGTGTCTCTGCTGGAGAAGTACCACACAGCCGGACTGTCACAGCTGTGGGCCGCCAGCTCCTTTAAAGGCTCCACCTGTGTTCACACCTGTGTGCCCGGCACTATGAGACACGTGGAGAACCATGAGCAGTGGCTGAAGGTGGCAGCTGCTTTACCTGCAGGTGTACACCTGAGGGGCATAGCCCTCACAGGCTGGCAGAGGTGAGGGTTCACCGGGTGTCATCACCTGTCCACACTGTGTGTGTGTGTGTGTGTGTTTATTTCAGTGTTCAATAGTTCAATGTACACACACAAACAAACACAAACACACAAACACACACACCACTGTGTTAATTACCTGTGTAAAACACACAGGTAAAGATACACAGGTGAAAACAGCCTCCACATGAAGGAAAATCAGTCTCCTGTCTCACCTGACCCACCTTACTGCCTCTAACAGGACTGTACCCCCCGGCAGGTATGACCACCTGTCTGTGCTGTGTGAGCTGATGCCTTTGGCTCTGCCTTCACTGGGAGCCTGTCTGCAGACGCTGGTCCAGGGTCAGCTCAGTGCTGAGGCTCAGATCAGAGTGTGTGAGCGGCTGGGTGTGTCTTCAGTGGAGGTGACGGACCTGGACAGGTGAGGTCTGTACCGTCTGATCTACAGTCTCTGTGAGGTGTACCAGTACCTGCAGCTTCTGTTCCTGCAGGACACCTGAGGAGGACTCGCTGTTCCCAGGGAGGAGACTGGCTGAGCTCATCATAGACCTGAACCAGCTGCTGAACTCAGACGACATCCGCTTCTTTGAAAACAGCATGTGAGTCCAACCTTCATCTCACCTGTCTCCTCTACCTCAATTAACTATACTGACTCACCTGAGAGATACAGTTAGCTTAGCTTAGCATAGAGACAGAAAACGGAGTTAACAGCTGGTCTGACATTAAACTCATTATACTGTGAGCTGTGAGTATGAGAGAGGCACAGAGACTTCCTGTGGAGACTCCAGGAAGTAAAGACCTGGACGTAGACCAGGACCTTATTCATCCCAGTCTCAGCAACAAAGTGAACAAGTGTATTTTCCAAAATGTGAGATGGTTCCTTTCACCTGGAGAAGAGCTGAACAGGTGTGTGTTTCCTGCAGGGCTGTGAGAGGATGGTTCAGCCCCTACCAACGACAGAGGAGGGCGGTGACCCCGCTCATCACCATGACGATTCACAGCCAAGCATCGGCGTAAGCAGACACTTCTTCTACTGTGATTGAATATGAAGGCAACACTACAGTATGAAGTCTGAACTGTGTGGTTTAATCAGAGAATTAACTTTATCAGAAATAAAGTTTTAATGTTTCAGGTTCTGAATGTTTATGTGTCAATAACTTTATTACTAAATACAGATATTTAACGTGTTGTACTGTGATTAGTTCATTAGTTAATTAGCCTCAGCTCAGTTCTTTCAGTCTAATTAGCAAATGTTAGCATCTTACAATGCTAAGCTAAGGTGGAGAACATGGTGAATGTTACAGGAGCTAAACATCAGCTCCTATACCCTCCCCCCTCACCTGTCCTCAGGTATCTGACCACGCTGCAGCAGAAGGTGGAGGCGGTGAAAGAGGAGATGGTGCGTCTTTACCCAGAATGCACTGCTCAGGAGTGGATAGAGGAGCACGTCAGCCCAGTGATGGCTCCTCTACAGAGGATCACAGAGGACGTCCTGGCCTGTGTGAAGGAGATGGTCCCGTAGAATAACAGTAATAATTATTATTATTAGTAGCATTATTATAATTCTGCAGCTCAGTCAGACGTTGTGTCTTTAATTTGATTTCATCCTGATTTAGTGCAAAGAACAAACAGCTGATTGTTGCTCAGAGAAGAAGGAACACGATGAACAGAACTGGTTCATGTATAAAACACTTTTATATCATTCTTGTAAATGTATAAAAACAAATCAACAAACAATAAAATCAACAGTAAGCAAAAACATTTGTCATCAGCCCTGATTCAGTTCACACGAACAAACACTTACATAAACAGATAAAACCTTGGACCAAAGTGTTTCCTGAGACTCAGTCTTTGGTTCATATTTAACATGTTGAGAGACAGAGCAGCTGAAGAGTTCGTCTCATCACACCCTTCATGTCTGAAACAGTTTACAGTCTAGAATAGACGAGCGTCAGCTAGTGGGGGGGGGTCCAGAGAACCGTGGGAACAGCTTCCACATAAACAGTCATTAGTTGAGTAGAAGGCACAGTTAATACAGTTAATGTGGATCTGGATCCTCACACAGTCATTAGACCTGATGAGCTTCAGTCTCCGTCTCCATGTCGTCTTTAACATCAAGAGGAGGATGTTTCATCCTTGTTCAAAATGTTTCATTGTTATAACCTGAACTCAGATATAAACAACAGAAGAAAGTGTGTAAGGAGCCATTTAAAAAGCCTACACCCTCAGTGTCACATGCACATGCTTTCCGTATAACATGTAATGAAGTCATCACTGAAGCCACGCCCTCTAAAGCCTCAGTCATAATACCCCAACTCAATCCACTCACAGCTACAGTTACAGGTCTCAGAGTTCATCAGCTTCATCAGCTTCATCAGCTTCATCAGCTTCATCAGCTTCATCGCTGCTGTTGTCCAGAGAGTCTTCCTCCCCTCCATAGTCTTCCTCCTGCTGCCTGAGCTGCTGCTGCTCCTCCAGCCCCAAGAAACGCTTCAGCAGAGCGGCCACAGCCTCCACATCACTGACAGGAAACGGGAAACAGGAAATACACAGTTACAGAGCAGCCATGGCTTCCACATCACATACAGGAAACAGGAAATACACTGCTACAGAGCGGCCAAAGCCTCTATATCACTGACAGGAAACAAAATAAACAGTTACAGAGCAGCCACGGCCTCTACACAACTGACAGGAACCAGGAAATACACAGTTACAGAGCAGCTGATACCACAGACAGTGACCACTCCATCACAGACAGGTCACCACTGGTGAAGTGGTTATTTGAACAGTAAATCTGAATGTGTGGAAGTTAAATGTGTCTCGTCTTCTCAGGCTGTTAATCTACTGACTGACTGTCAGGAAACAGGTTAGTCTCATTTCTCCTGTTCAAACACCACACAGATCAGATTATAGTTTATAGTTTTAGTGTTGGAACTTTACACTGAAGTGAATCTGAAGAACTAAAACAGAGAATTAATTAAAGGTCCAGATTTTGACGGTGTTTTAAATTAAATCTGTTTAAAAACCAAAAACCACCTCAGTCCACTTTTACATCTGTCAGGAGCTCGAGTTGAGTCTCTCTTCTGATTGGCTGACTGTTTACCCAGAATGCCAATGGTCAGCAAGACCGGAGCTTTAGACCTGGTTCTGGTCCAAACCCCTGGATACCCCTTTGATACACAGTATTAATATAGAAACTAGACCTGCTTTATAATAAAACAACACATGGACATCTGCCTTTATACGATATGGACCTTTAATTAACCTGTTAGTTCTACCAGCAACATTATAACATGATGTGTTGGAGCCGTCAGCCGCAGACACAGACCTGCGTCCTCCCAGCGTGGCGCTCTGAGTGAGGGGGTATGAGAAGCCTGCGGCCAGACGCAGCATCAGCAAGTAACCCTTCCCCAGGTACCGGACCCTCTCCTCCTGGACGCAGACGTCACACAGCTGAGTCAAGTCCAGCACGACTGACAGAGAGAGAGAGAAGAAGAAGAAGATCACACACTCTGCTACTGCTGACTGTAGTACTGACTGTAGTACTGACTGTAGTACTGACTGTAGTACTGAGCACTGACTGTGTAGAACTGACTGTGTAGAATTGACTGTGTAGTACTGTAGTACTGACTTTTCTCCTGGCCCCTCCTCCACAGCGTCAGGACTGAAGCGTACAGACTCATGGTCTTGAGCTCTATCAGGTTCCTGGTCTTGTCGAAGATGGCGTCTTCCCATTCCTCCATGTTCTGCATGGCCACAAACAGACAGCCGGTGACGTAGAAGAGTTTCCACAGGACGCTGTCTGTTCACAACAACAACACAACACAATGAACATGTGTAGAAGGTTCATGTTGAAGGACAGATGATTCAGTAAATCCAGACTGTACCTGAGCTGTAGTACGCAGCTGCCAACCCAACTGACACTATACCTGTAGTTACAATGAGAGGCGTGTTATTTTGAAGGCGGTACAGGAAGAGACGTTTTAATGAGAGAGTTCACAGGTCCACAGGATCACGCACTTACCGACCAGGAGGGACCAGGACCGGAGACCTGGGGACCTCTTCAGGTGGAGCAGAGTGGAGCTGTGCTCCTCTACCATCATGTATCCCATCTGAGCAGACACAGGGATACAAATCAACTACTTCATGTGTACTACAAGCTTCTTTTACCTGAACACACCTGCCTTAAAGGGCCAGTTCACCAAATCACAAATACATATGTTCCTACACATGCTGAGTGGTATCCAGTAACATCCGCCTGCAGGATTTCAGCTGAACTGGCCCTGAATCAGTAACATGTCTGGATGATCAACAGCTGCAGTAATTGACCCCGGGACCCACACCTCCAGGGCCAAGACCAGGCATCTAATGACTTTAACTGCTTTATGATGTTCTTGATGATTTCAAAATAAAAGCCCCCCCCCCCCCCCCCCCCCCCCCCCCCCAGGGTTAATCAAGCCATGGTCTGTCCAAAACCAAGTCCCAATTTTAATCATCATGTTCTTTGACTGCACAATTTTCACACTTCAATTAAAAACACATTAACTGACATTAATGAGTAGAAAACATGTTGATTATCTTTAAAGTAATTACAATTAAAATCACGGTTTCCCTGACATTTAATTTGTGATACAGGAGCGTTTTTATTTGTTTGTTCCTCACTCTGACCACTAGGTGTCGCCCTGTTAACATGAAGCATTAGAAATTAACCTTTTCTTGAGGCCTTTTAATGAACTGCTTGATGAATCTTCATTTCACCTTCACACTCACCTTTTATTCTGAAACGTTCCTAAAGTTTCCCGCCGACAAGATTCTGGAAAAGAGCACGAGGACGTGTAGACGCGGTCAGTGAATTATAAGGAAGTTCTGCTCATGTTATTGCAGCAACTGCGGCAACTGTCTTGAATGGGTGACACTTCCTTCCTGGATCCGTCAGCTCTGATTGGACGGGCTCCTTTTCATGCTTCCTTCAAAATAAAAGCTTCACTGTTTACGTTGATAAGCAGAAGTATTTTTGCTGTGTGTTCTGTTTATACCCAAACATCTTACTCATAAAAACCAGAGTGACAAATTAAAAAAAACACAAAGATTCTTCCGTTTTATACAGAACAGGCTCAGCTGTTCCTTTATTTTGACAGTTCCGTCAGCGCATGCGTACTGGACGCGCCGGGGTGTACAATGGAGTCAGACGTATTCAGGCAGCAGTGGCAAGAACGTTAGAGGCTGAAGTCTGCGGTGAAACAACCGCGGAGCTGGATGCGGGTGGTGGCGCCGTCCACAGACGACTGGACCCGAGAGAAGAGAGCAGAGAGACGGCTGAGTTCACCTGCCGGGAGTCGGTCATCCGGTCCTCCGGTCCTCCGGTCCTCCTCAGCCGCTCTGTCCTCTGCGGTTCCTCCTCGTCTTTGTCTGAGAGCAGAAACATAAACCGTCCGGTGAGTTACCTCCGGTGAACACACAAAAACACACACCACTACACAACACATAACACTACACACTGTCACACAACATAACACAGGACACAGTCACACAACACAACAACACACAACACAACAACACACATAACACTACACACTGTCACACAACACAATGTGTGTGTGTGTGTGTGTGTGTGTGTGTTTGTGTAATGTTCCTACAGTTACAGCTCTGTCTGACACTGTGACAGTTACAGTAAATCACTCACCACAGTTTTCTTGTTTTAATCATCACAGGTTGAAATGCTGTTTATACAGTAAATATGTGGTTTTCATGTGATCACAGCCTCCAGTCTGAACCTGTAACTTGTGGTTGTTTTTGTTAGCTCTGTGTCTGTAATTAACCTGAACCATTTAAATGGTAATGACAGGATACTGGTTTGTGTACACTGCAAGTTTCCCATCCTTATGAGTCTGTTGTGTTTCTGATAGGAGGAGGAGGAGGAGGCTGACAGGAAGTGATCAGCACCAGGAGGCTCATACTGCTGTTATCTACACACCTACATATTATATATTATGTTACAGGTGACCGCGAGGAAGATGTCGGAGGTCAACGTAGCAAAGAAGAAGGAGAAGTGTGAAAACTGCACCAAACAGGTGAACTGACCCAGCCTGGTCTTAAGAACCAGTCTCTTCTGTTAGTGATCCTGGATCAGAGAAAGTCTTTAATTGATTATCAATCTGCTCACAGTGCAACAAGAAGCAGAGTGATGAAGGAGCCAACGCACAGCAGGAGGGAGAGGAAGTCAACGGACAGGTAACTACATCAGTCCTCACCTGTTTATTAAATGTTCACGTGTTCTGTACATCTGAGGCAGTGAGGAAGACCACTGCACCTGAGACTTCACCTGAGAGTGGTTGTGTAGAGGTTACAGCTTTATAAAATAAGATAAAAATAAAATGAATAAAATAAAGCAAAATAAAATAAATTAAACTCTGATGATGTCATCACACTACATATTATACCTGAAAACTGGAGGTGTGTTAAAAAGATCTGGGCATTATTTGGGAAATGTAGAAGCCAGTGTTTCAGGATCTTAGCACACGCTGGGACCAGAAGTCAGGATATCTCAGCCTCTGTGTGACCCGTCTCTCTGGTGTTATCTCACCTGTCCTGTGTCTGCCCAGGTGAGTGAAGGGCCTCAGGTGTTGCTGAGCGCCTGTCTGTCCTGTGACGGCTGTCTGTCAGAGGAGGAGAGCCTGAAGATATCTCAGCAGAGCCTGGAGGAGGTGGAGCGGGTTCTGGAGAACAACAAGGTTCGATACACAACCAGACGGCCTGTTGTTGTTGTTGTTGTTGTTGTTGTTGTTGTTGTTGTTGTTGTTGTTGTTGTGCTGTGTAACTCACACTGTGTTGTCCCATTATGTGTCTGTCCCTCTCAGAAGTGTGACGTGTCAAAGCACAAGGTGCTGGTCGCCTCCGTTTGTCCACAGTCGCTGCCGTTCTTTGCCGTCAAGTTTGGCGTGGACATCAGTGACTCCGCCCTCAAACTGTGTGGCTTCCTGAAGAGTCTGGGTGAGCATTTAAAAATGAACTGTACGTATCTGTCTGAAGTTCAAAGAGGCGGATCTGGTTTTTAATGTGGGATCTGTGATGTGATGTCTTCTCCTCATCAGGTCACTGACTGTATTAAATCAGAAACAGGCTGCGTTCAGATTCTCTGTCGTGTTTTATTTGGTTTGTGATTCTCGTTTGAAGCCAGTTGAAGTCTTGAATGTGGCTCTCTGCGTGGCCCTCTTCTCTCTGTGTGGACAAACTGACACCTGCTCGTTGTATCTCTCACGGGTGCTCGATATCCCCCCCACGTCAGTCTCACCCAGTCTGTGCTCTCTGCTCTGGGATCTGGTCCACAGGAGTCCAGTATGTGTTCGACACCACTCTGGCAGCAGGATTCAGCATCTTGGAGAGTCAGAAGGAGTTTATTCAGAGGTACCGCAGGAGGCACCACGACTCCCACGCCCTGCCCATGTTCACCTCCTCCTGCCCAGGTAAACCTCCTCCCTCCTCCTCCTCTCTGCTCCACCATGCCCCCCACCCCCTCTTTTTATCCCCCACCTGTCAGACCCCCTGTTTCCTTCCCTCTGCTGCTGACTGTACAGTTAATGTGGATCATGAGCTGAATATGGAGATGGAGATAATGGAGGAGAGCTGGTGGAGAAAGATAGAAAGCTTGTTTCTGACCGCTCCCCTCATCAGAGATAAGACCACACACACACACACACACACACAGAGACACACATACACACACACACACACACACACACACACACACAGACAGACATGCAAACTTTCAGTCTGTGTGGGGGGGGTGTCAGGGAAACAATGAAACAACAGCTCTAATGTGTATTTTACAGATTGTTTCAGGTGTGTTATTATTGTTATTATCTTCCTCTGTGAGGTTCTGTTTATTCCAAAACATCATTAACAGATCAAGATTAAATGAGACTGTGTGTGTGTGTGTGTGTGTGTGTGTGTGTGTGTGTGTGTGTGTGTGTGTGTGTGTGTTTGTACACAGGGTGGATTCGTTACTCAGAGCGGGTCCTGGGCAGCTTGGTGACCCCTCATATCTGCACAGCCAGGTCTCCTCAGCAGATCATGGGCTGTCTGGTCAAAGACTACTTCTCTAAGCAGCAGGTGAGTGGGACTAGTTACCTGTCTGAGGTCAACTAGTCAGTTAAATGTCAGAGTTAACTTGTGCAGGTAACTGTTAAACTGTACCAGGAAAGGCTCCTTGGGCAATTAAAACATGATAACAGTGTAAGTAGTGTGTCTGCTGAGGGTTAAACTGCCCGTGTCCAAGAGGCAGCTCTGAGTCTGAGGTCTTCAGGAGCAGGACTCTGTCCAGATGTTGACTGGATGAGGAGGAGGCGGTCTTGTCTGTCACAGCTGGACAGAGCGGTGATGTGACTGCGGTTCGGCTCTCACAGTGGATAGAAACATGAATCTCTGTGGTGCCGCAGGTAGATTATCTGACTCCTTGTGTTCGCTCTTGTCCCGGCAGAAGCTGAGTCCTGACCAGCTCTACCATGTGGTGGTGGCTCCCTGCTTTGATAAGAAGCTGGAGGCCGTCCGAGAGGAGTTCTGCAACAGTCTGCTGGACTCCAGAGACGTGGACTGTGTCCTCACCTCAGGTTGTCCCTATACTGAACTACACTATACTATTACATTAGAGCTGACTCAGCACAAACAGACAGGTCAGAGCCTGAGCCAGAGAACACCTGGTCCTCAGTCTACGTCACATGTGGTGCGGACATTAAAACCTGTTACAGTATTTGTAGTTTGACTGTAGAGCTCATTTGAAGGAGGCTTCTCCTCCTCCTCCTCCTCCTCCTCCTCAGCTCCTGTTACTCTCTTCTTCTTCTTCTTCTGACACTAAATCCAATGATGACGTTTCAGTAACTGTGATGTTTGATGTTTCAGGTGAGATCTATCACCTGATGGAGCAGAAGAAGGTCTCAGTAGAGGACCTGGACTCTGTTCCACTGGATCCAGTGTGAGTACTGGAACTAGTTTTCTTCTGTTTGTTACCTCAAGTAGTGTGGACCAGACTGGACCAGACTGGACCAGACTGGACCAGACTGGACCAGACTGGGCCAGACTGGACCAGACTGGACCAGACTGGATCAGGCCAGAACAGACTGGACCAGACTATAGCAGACTGGATCAGACTGGATCAGACTGGATCAGGCCAGAACAGACAGGACCAGACTGGACAGTGTGTTGATAACATCACGAGTGTGACTGATGACAAGCTGATGATGAGTCATTTCTGACTCTGCATGTGTTTGATATTTCCAGCTCTACACTGACAGAACTATGTTATTGAATATTGATTATTGATTACATATTGATATCTTCACTGAGTAGCTGTCATTGGCTGCAGGCTGGGGGAGGCGGGAGAGGCGGCGCTGGTGAGGCACGAGGGCCGAGGTTCTGAAGGTTTCCTGGAACACGTGTTCAAACATGCTGCCAAAGAGCTGTTTGGTCTGGAGGTCCATGAGATCACGTACAAGACCCTCAGGTGAGACTCACCTGGACGCTGACACCTGCACCGCAGCGTTCATTGATGTCCGGTCATGGTTTTCATGACGTCGCTGTGCCTCAGTTTGAACTCTTGAACGTCTACAGCGTCATGTTTATCACTGATGTGTCTCTCTTCATGTCCTCTGTGTCGTGGTTTCACAGGAACCGAGACTTCCAGGAAGTGACCCTGGAGCGGGACGGAGAGACTCTGCTGCAGTTTGCTGCCATCTATGGTTTCAGGAACATCCAGACCCTGGTCCACCGGATGAGGAAGGGACGAGTGCCGTACCAGCTGGTGGAGGTTCTGTCCTGCCCGGGAGGTAACTCTGCGCTCCACATGTTCACTCCTGTCAGTCCCACAGAGACCTTCCTGCTCATGTTAACTCCCCCCACCCCCCTTGTGTCCACTCAGGGTGCTTGAGTGGCCGCGGTCAGGCGGAGAGCGAGGCGGGAGGACGGGTGGACAAAGCCCTGGTCCAGCAGATGGAGGACTCCTACAGCAGCCTGCCGGTCCGTCTCCCAGAGGTCAACCCCGCCCTGCAGACCCTCTATCAAGACTGGCTCCAGGGCCATGACTCCCCCCAGGCCAGCATGCTGCTGCACACCCAGTACAGAAACCAGGGTCAGGTCCACGCACAGCCCCCCCACATGCAGTGGTGAGGACAGGGTTTTACTTTAAGACATGATGGTTGAATGAGGACCGCCTAAGCTCGGTCCTGATTCTGCTTGGACCATCTCCATCCTGCTGACGACCACGAAGGACCTGCTGAAGACCTGCTGCTCTATGGACCAGGGACTGAATTCTCCGTATGTGCAGTTCTGCCATCTGACCACAGGGGGGCGATGTCTGTATTTACAACATGGCCAAAGCTGAGCCTGAGGAGAGACGAGGTCCAGACTGGCGCTTTGATGTCACTGAGCTGCTCACATAATGACTAATAGCATTAATTAGGTACAGAGTCGTCTGATTGTCTGGCTGCTCTGAGACGTCAGGAAATCTGAAGCATGTGTGAAGTATTTATGCCAAAATACAAAAATACAAAATGCAGAGCAATAATCCAGAGAGCAGAAACATGTAAAAGCTTTTAGCAGAACTGGAGCTGATGACCTGAACTTTGACCCTGAATGTGAAAAAAAACTCTGGTCCAGAGTGAGCAGGTTTTACTGTGTGTTCAAGGCGCTGCCGCTGTTCCTCTGTGTTCTCTAACACATTAACAGCTGTGCAGCAGTGTGATTGTCTTATCTCAACACTCAGTTGAAAGTCAAGCTGGTAATTCAGGAGATCAAAGGTCATCAATTTTTCCTTTCACAGAGTTAATCCGTCCCAGTGTAGAGACTCATATTATTTTTAATGGTACAAGATGATTTTGTTTTATTTTCATTCCACAAACTTTTATCATGAGATCAAACATGTGTTAATAACTAAAACACTCTGGATGATGACGTCGTCGCTCACTGAACAGCCTCTGTACAGTTCATGTGTTCGTTCGTATGAAAACATATTAATATGAAAACTGTGACTTCCTGCAGGAAACCTACAACAATAAAACACTTTGACCCAAAACTGTGTTTCCCTCTAAACAACATGTTGCAATAACATGCATTTATCACCTGCTGCTGACCGCTCACCTTATTAACATACACACACAGAAATAAACATGTGTAATGTAGAAATACAGAAATAAATAAATATATCAATGAAATGAATACATGTGAAAATACAGGAATAACCTTTGTCGTTACCAAAATGTATTTATGCTTGTGTCATTTTTTGTTCTTTAGTTACTTATAAACCACAGACTGACCGTCTGTACTCACATGTAGGCTGCACCCGTGTATCTCTCTGCCCTATTGTTCATTTCTCCCTTTCTCTTTCTCTTTCTTTTAATCCACTTATCTTTACACCCGTGAAGGCGTTTCTCCTCCTCCTCCTCCTCCTTACCTGTTTGGAAACTCCCGCAGAAGAGGTGTGTTTCACCTTGGATCATTTCACGTGATCTGTCATTTCTCCTTCAGAATCACTCAATGGTTCTCTCCTGACAGACGCAGTCGAAGGTAGGTCTGAGTCTGTTTGCATTTCTGTTTGTTCTGCACTTGAAGCAGGGAAAGATATTGATCTAAACAAACCAAATATTTTCTCGTGATGAGGTTTTGAATGTGTACTGAATCATATTAGGTGTGTGTGTGTGTGTGTGTGTGTGTGTGTGTGTGT